GCCAGTCCGCACCAGCGTCGTCCGCCTCTGTGCCCAGGGCAGCCTTGGCCAGCACTGCGCCGCCCTCCCGCAGCTCCTAGTCGTTTGGCGTCTGAGACCTTGAGGCCCCAGCCGGCCGAGCGGCGGGTTCCTGGAGTGTTCGCGCCTCTCTCTGCGACTCCATGGCGGACACTTTGGTCAGGCCATCGATATAATATTTTAATATAGACATAAGGAATAGATCGTATATGTACATATAGATATGGATATAACATATATAACTAAATTAAAACAAAGGTCCATAATTTGGCTCAATTATAAATCCAGAATGTATATACCAAATAATTTATATTACAAAAAGATAAATAGGACACTGATTGGGTTTTTTGTCTCTACAACATAAGGTCTAAAATTAACTTTAGCATTTGCTAAAATATACAAACTGACATACTTCATGGACTCAATCAATACTGGGGCTCAAATTATACTTGGGGCCCAGTACTTTGGGAGGCAAAGGCCAGTGGATCACCTGAGGTCAGGAGTTCAAAACCAGCCTGGCCAACATGGTGAAACCCTGTCTCTACTAAAAATACAAAAATTAGCCAGGCATGGTGGCAGGTGCCTGTAATCCCAGCTACTAGGGAGGCTGAGGCAGGAGAGTCGCTTGAACCCGGGAAGCAGAGGTTGTTGTGAGCTGAGATAGCACCATTCTACTCCAGCCCGCGCAACAAAAGCGAAACTCCTTCTCAAAAAGATATATATTATACTTGGGGTTCTCACTAAATTTAAATATTGTACCCCCTCTAATCTTAAAAATGTAACTAAGTAAAAAAATAATAATAATAATAATGAATATCCCTCACTTTACTGCCTTGGTTGAATTTCCCATAGTTTTGTACCCATTGCTTTAAAGTATCTCATATTGGACACAGACTCTGACATAACAAATAATAAATTAAAGTTAAAATTTTAGGACTTAAAAAATGGCTTGATAAAATGGGACCCTATAAATCCCTCTTTAAAATAGTTAATATGGCACAATTTAAGTTAGAATAGGCCCTTCAAGGATTAAGACTTGTTATATAGAACCTCATTATGAAAAGGGATAATTATCCTTACTGCTTCTCCATTTAATGGCTCAATTTTGCCTATTCGAGCCCTCTGGGAGGCCAAGACAGGAAGATTGCTTAATCCCAGAAGTTGAGACTGGCCTGAGCAACATAGTGAGACCCTATCTCTACAAAAATTTTAAAAATTAGTCAGGTGAGTTGGTATGTGTCTGTAGTCCTAGCTACTCAGGAGGCTTAGGTGAGAGAATCTTTTGAGCCCAGGAGTTCAGTGCTGCAGTAAGCTATGATCACACCACTGCAATCTAGCCCAGCCGACAGAGCAAGACATTGTCCCTGAAAATAATAATAATAATAATAATAATTAATGGAGATTATTGCCTTCTCCTGGAGGTAGTTGTTTCCTATTAGTCAACTCCTTGACCCACTCACTCCCCAGTGCCCTCCCCTACCGCTCCCTCAAGCTTCCCCCCGCGACCTCTTGTTTTATGTCTCTGGCCATGACCACCCCTTGCCCTTGGTTATACACACATATGCTAATCTACACACACATTATTAATGTGTTAGCCATACCCTTCAACGATATGACTGCCAGACCTGCCGCCTTGATGTATATATAATTCAGACTTTTAACGCACTTTACAACTCCCCCAAGATTATACTAAAGACCCCCCCAAAATTTCAGATCTACTTTCTTGACTAATGACATACAAATGAAAAACTTACTGATGGGCCAGCCTGCAAGGACTCCTCATATATCCACTTGTGTTCTTCCTTCTTACTCTCATAGTAAAACATTTTCTAGGCTGTTTAGGTCAGTTTATGCTTCACTCTCTAAATACATCCACTATCACTACCCTAGGTTTCTTCAATGATGCCAAATAGGAACAGGGCCAATGGCTCTTAACTGTGTTTTCTTAGATTCTGTATTTGTCTATTTGGCATCCAGGCACCTGGAGGCTTCATCAAGTTTACATTTTCCTTTGCTGATGTTTCAACTCATCCTACAAAACTATGTTCCATGTAGATCTGGCCTATCTTGAGGCTACTGTTTCTGCATTCACCCTCCCACGGTCACATTTCTTGGCCAACAGAACCACAGAAACTGATCTGCCATGAGTTAACATTTAGTCCAAATCATTTTTCCACTTTGACTGTGCTTCAAATGGGGTTGGCCTGGTGATACTGAAGACAATCAATGCACCTATAAATTCCAGACAACAGGTTCTTGTCATTTCCCCAATCTTTCCTCATTGCAATGTTCCACAGCTGCAGGTGCGCCAAGGCCTCTGAGTCCCAGTGGAGCTCCTTCAGTGCACAATTCACACAATGGTGAACTGGCTTGGAGATGCCAGGAGGAGTTCTGGTGCACACAGTGTGTGATGATGATGGTCTTGCCTGTGCCCAGGTCACCCATACCAGCAGCTGGTACAGACTGACACACTGTGCTGGTCACAGTTCAGGGCTGGAGAGAGACTCCAGGAGTGCAAGTATGCTCTCGTTTTAAGTTCTTCGTTTTGATTCTCTTCATTGGCTGGATTTCATTGCAACATAGTTTTCAAGAAGGTAGAAGAGAACTATGTTCCCTATATTCTTTGATAAGAATGTCTGCCTGTTTCCTTTATAGTCAAACATCATCTCAGTTTGGCAAAATATGTGTTAGTAAAACTTTTCTCAGAATGCTGAATGCATTGATCCACTTTGTCTGGCATTGGGCACAGTGGTGGAGAAGGCAGAGGCCCTGATGGGTAATTTAGGCTCTATTCTCTGTTCCAAGATCCCACTGAACGTCTCTGTTCCAAGATCCCACTGAACATCTTAGGCATGAATTCAGAACACCCAGTCAAGGGTGTATCCCACTCCACTGAGCTTCGTCTCAGTCCCTTAGCTCATCTTAGATGAGTGGGAAATGCCAAACCCTGGTGCTCCTTCCTCTTGTTGATGTAAACTCTCATTGTCTAAAAGAGTTTCTACTTATACTTTGGCTGCTTTCCTTCAAATCTTAGTTAGAGAGGATTTTCCACATTTTGTCAACTTACCTTCTTTATTCAGAACTGCTTGTAGAAAAATCAAGTAACCATTCTTGTGAGTTCTTTAAAGGTGGTAGCTGACCAATTAGAAAATCCGCAATCCTTCCAAGAAAATAGTGTGAAGGTAGCTCAAGAAGATCCAGAGAATTCCTGGAGTTTTTGTTTTGAGGAAATGAGTTTTGCCTTCTTATTCATTCCCACTGTGGAAATTCTGAGTTTCATCAAGGATAATCTTTTGTAAGTTATCATTGTTTTCTAGACATATGCTAGGAGATTTTCACTGTCATCATTAAGAATAAAAGTGTTGCAATTTTTCTCACTTCAAGCATGGAAGAAAATTTATTCAGGAACTACAGACAGAGTAATACTGTGCACAGACTAGTTAACAAATTAATTTTCCTAATATCCCACAAACAATATCTGAGAAGTGAAGATAGGCTAAATCCAATTTTCCAACATCTCAAGTTGCTTAACTTGCAAAGTTTTCAAAGACTATTTTCACAGAATTAGAGAATGTTATCAAATATATAATGAAAAATATCTCAGTAGCCCAGTCCATCTTCCATCAGGTGAGCATTCGACAATATTTAAACATCTTTTTATCATTCTTCTGAAAGCAATCTATACTGATGATCTGGGAGACACTGGCAAAGGCAAACTGGTCTCTCACAGACTCAAGTCTCTTTAAGGCTTTAAAAAGGGCTTTCAGCAAGTCTTTCCTTGTTTGAGTGCTTGTAAAATAGTAGGATTCAGGGTAAATTACTTGCAACCTTAAATCATACTGGCAGCTTGTCTTGCCTTCAGGGCTCAAGTAGAAGATCTTTGTCATGACACACACTTTTTTTGTGTAACCACCAATTTGTCCCAGTTTCTGCTTTAAGGTTAGGGCAGTTTGTGTAGAATAGCCTTTAAACTCCTCATCCTGTACCATGTGGAAGGTGTATAGGACTGGAGGATTGTCCTGAGAAATCAGAAGAGCATCACAGAGGACTTTGTTGTTCTCTTGCAAGCCCAGATCCAAAGACCAGCTCCTAGAGAAAATTAGTGAGCCCTTACTGACAGAGCCCATTTCTTCACATATTAATTGCTGAAGTCCTTCATGTTGTAAGAACAGTTTTCTGCAAAGGTTTTCTGGAGTGTATGTTATCCTTCCTGATAGGCCTAAATAAGGAAATAATGATAATAAATTATAAAACAGTAGGAACTTCCTGTTTAAGCCATGGCAAAGTAGCTTGTAAAAGACCATCAAAAACACTGTAAACGTTGTATAAAATATATCAAACAATAATTTAAAGAACTAGAAAGCGCAAATAAAAGCAGGAATTGAAGTGCCACAGTCTTTAATAGATGTGAAACACAGGAAGTAGCTTCACATTCACTCCTGCTTTTTCCCTAAGTAGATTTTCCATATTATAGCATGGGTAAACAAAGTCCAAGGGGAAATCAGTCTTATTATTTCTGAGGAAAAGAAGTAAGAAGAGCTGCAATATGAGAAGTAAAATCTCAGAGAAAATGAAACTGCAGAGAAGCCAAAGTCTACGCACTAATTTCCCTGAACTCATTGGCTAATACAGGTGAGATGCTGGAAACACAGAAGAAAATATCAACTGGGAGACTAAAGAGCTGAATGTAAGTTTCTTCAGCCTCATGATGCTCAGGAACCACAGACAAAAATTCCAGTCCCAAAAGAATGGAGGGATCTTGATAAACACCAGAGACATTACGGCACTAGAAAAGCCATGATCTGGTAGTAAGGGCAAAATTAAAAACTATTATACCTAGAAAAGCATTTAAAAAATCTTCAAAGGAATAAAAGCAATGGGTGGTACTCTGTCGACCTGCCAGAAGTAAATATAGCCGTTTTTGGAGAAATGTAATATCTATCAAAGTCTCTACAATTTGTAATCCATGATACAATGAAAAATTGAGAGACAATAAAAATCAGAATGAATTACTAGAAAACAGGAGAAAAACCAGATCAGAGAAAAAGACTGAGAAGTGCTTCAGATATTGTCATTATCAAAAAGGGACTTTAAAATAACTGTAATATATTTAAAAACAAAAAAAAATAAAAAGATGAAAAGATGAAGATGTCCTTATTCTCTTACAGGCTTAGAAAAACTAAAATTGATGGATAAAAATTGTGTGGACATTCCTTAACTGAAAAACACAGTATGTGGTATTAAGAACTTGTTTGATAATGTTTAACAGCAGACAGAGCATAGCAGAAAACAGGACTAATCAATAGGAAGACAGGATGGTAGCAAAAGTCCGAACTCAAACTCAATGAAAAAAAAAAAAAAAGGTAAAAACAGAAGATAAGAGACATGTCAGAAACTGTCAAAATTCTAGAAAATTTATAATATGAGTCCCACAAAGGGAAAGGAGAGAAAACTAAGACAAGCAATATTTGAAGAGATAAACAATTATAGTTTTTTCAAAGTTGATTAAAGATATCACTCACAAATGCAAGAGTATACCAATCCTTCTCAAACTCTTCCAAAAAATTGAAGAGGAGGAAATACTTCCAAACTCATTTTGTGAGGTTAACGTTACCCTGATCACGAAGTCAGGCAAGGACACCACATAAAAAAGAAAATTACAGGCCGATATCACTGATGAAACTAGATGCAAAAATTCTCAACAAAATACTAGCAAACCAAATACAACAGCACATTAAAAGGATCATTCAGGATCCCGGAGCAAGGTGGCCGAATAGGAGCAGCTCCAGCCTCCAGCCCCCAGCGCAAGTGACACAGAGGACAGGTGATTTCTGCATTTTCAACAGAGGTACCAGGTTCATCTCACTGGGGAGTGCCGGACAATCGGTAGTGGTCAGCTGGTGCAGCCCGACCAGTGAGAGCTGAAGTAGGGCGAGCCATTGCCTCACCTGGGAAGCACAAGGGGGAAGAGAATCTCTTTTTCTAGCCAAGGGAAACTGAGACACACAACACCTGGAAAATCAGGTAACTCCCACCCTAATACTGCACTTTACCAAGGGTCTTAGCAAACGGCACACCAGGAGATTATATCCCACACCTGGATGGGCGGGTCCTATGCCCACAGATCCTCCCTCGTTGCTAGCACAGCAGCCTGAGATCTAACTGCAAGGCAGCAGCAAGGCTCGGGGAGGGGCAACCACCATTGCTGAGGCTTAAGTAGGTAAACAAAGCTGCCAGGAAGCTCAAACTGGGTGGAGCCCACCGCAGCTCAAGGGGGCCTGCCTGTCTCTGTAGACTCCATCTCTGGGGACAGGGCATAGTTAAACAAACAGCAGCAGAAACCTCAGCAGAGGTAAATGACCCTGTCTGACAGCTTTGAGGAGAGCAGTGGATCTTCCAGCATGGAGGATGAGATCTGAGAACCGACAGACTGCCTGCTCAAGTGGGTCCCTGACCCCTGAGTAGCCTAACTGGGAGACATCCCCCACTAGGCGCAGACAGACACCTCACACCTCACATGGCAGGGTACATCCCTGAGACAAAGCTTCCAGAGCAAGAATCAGACAGCAACACTCACTGTTCAGCAATATTCTATCTTCTGCAGCCTCTGCTGCTGATAACCAGACAAACAGAGTCTGGAGTTGACCTCAGGCAATCTCCAACAGACCTACAGCTGAGGGTCGTGACAGTTAGAAGGAAAACTAACAAACAGAAAGGACACCCACACCAAAACCCCATCAGTTCATCACTGTCATCAAAGACCAAAAGTAGATAAAACCACAAAGATGGGAAAAAAGCAGTGCAGAAAAGCTGGAAATTCAAAAAATCAGAGCACATCTCCCCCTCCAAAGGAATGCAGCTCATCGCCAGCAATGGATCAAAGCTGGATGGAGAATGACTTTGACGAGTTGAGAGAAGAAGGCTTCGGTCGATCAAACTTCTCAGAGCTAAAGGAGGAACTATGTAACCAGTGCAAAGAAACTAAAAATCTTGAAAAAAGAATGGAAGAACGGATAACTAGAATAATCAATGCAGAGAAGACCATAAACGAACTGACAGAGATAAAAAACCATGACACGAGAAATACATGACAAATGCACAAGCTTCAGTAACCGACTCGATCAACTGGAAGAAAGAGTATCAATGATTGAAGATCAAGTGAACGAATGAAGTCAGAAGAGAAGTCTAGAGAAAAAAGAGGAAAAAGAAAAGAACAAAGCCTCCAAGAAATATGGGATTATGTGAAAAGACCAAATCTATGTCTGATTGGGGTGCCTGAAAGTGAGGGGGAAAATGGAACCAAGTTGCAAAACACTCTTCAGGATATCATCCAGGAGAACTTCCCCAACCTAGTAAGGCAGGCCAACATTCAAAT